CACGCCAAATCTGCACCTGTGCCACCCTTTGTCTCCTTGTTTCTAGTACAGAGAAGATCTTTCCATAATTCATGAACTGAAACTGGCCTGCTTAACAAGCAGCTCATTTTTTCAACCTTGAAAATGGAAATAGGGTTGTAGATGCAAAATGTTACCTTGTGGAGGCAGAGCTGGCTTCGAACTTGCAGGAGGTGTCTGGCAGGTCTGGGACCTCAATTGTCAGCCTGGTCTTATATAGAGAAATATTTAAAAACAAACAAACAACAACAAAAAAAACTAAAACTGGCCAAGTGAAATCTCACTTTAAATGTCAAAAAAGACATGTTAAGGCTAGGAGCAGTGGCTCATGCCTGTAATTCCACCACTTTGGCAGGCCGAGGCAGGCAGATCACAAGATCAGGAGTTCGAGACTGGCCTGGCCAATATGGTGAAACCCCATCTCTACTAAAAATATAAAAAGTAGCCGGGTGTGGTGACGCATGGCTGTAATCCCAGCTACTTGGAAGGTTGAGGGATGAGAATCACTTGAATCTGGGAGGCGGAGGTTGTGGTAAGCCGAGATCACACCACTGCACTCCAACCTGGATGACAGAGCAAGACTCCATTTCAAAAACAAAACAGAACCCCCAAATTAGCCAAGTATGGTGGTGTATGCCTGTAGTCTCTGCTAGTTGGGAGGTTGAGGCAGAATGATTAATTGAGCTTGGGATGCAGAGCTTAAAGTGAGTCGAGGTCACAACAGAGCAAGACCCTGTCTCAAAAAAAAAAAAATTAAAATACCATTATATATATATATCAAAATAGGCCAGGTGCAGTGGCTCACGCCTGTTATCCCAGCACTCTGGGAGGCCAAGGCTGGCAGATCACAAGATCAAGAGATTGAGACCATCGTGGCCAATGCGGTGAAACTCCATCTCTACTAAGGATACAAAAATTAGCTGGGCATGGTGATGTGCACCTGTAGTCCCAGCGATTCGGGAGGCTGAGGCAGGAGAATCGCTTGAACCCGGGAGGTGGAGGTTGCAGTGAGCCAAGATCATGCCACTACACTCCAGCCTGGGTGACAGAGCAAGACTCCGTCTCAAAATAATAAAAATAACAATAAAATAGCATTTTAGGCTAGGAGGCACAGTGGCTTATGCCTGTAATCCAAGCACTTAAGGAGGCTGGGGCAGGTGGATCAACTGAGGTCAGGGGTTTAAGACAAGCCTGGCCAACATGGTGAAACCCTGTCAGTACTAAAACTACAAAATTAGCCAGGCATGGGGGAATATGCCTGTAATCCCAGCTATTTGGGAGGCCAAGGCAGGAGAATTGCTTGAAGTGGGAGGCGGAGGTTGCAGTGAGCTGAGATCGCTCCATTGCCCTCCAGCCTGGGTGACAGAGCAAGACTTCTGTATGACTTGGTAGTGGGGTCACATGTGTTGTTGATCCTTGTAGCCAAGGATAATTATCCCCAAAACAATTGTGTAATCTTCTTCAGTATCCCTCTAAAAACCTTTGGCCTCCTTTGCCTCCCTGGATACGCACATAGTTTACTACGGCACACATATTCCCGTTGTCATACCCTATCCCAAATAAACGTTGCTTTCTTTTAGAGTCTCTCTTTTTTTTTGAGATGAAGTTTCCCTCTTGTTGCCCAGGCTGGGGTGCAATGGCGCCAGGTCGGCTCACCGCAACCTCTGCCTCTTGGGTTCAAGCTATTCTCCTGCCTCGGCCTCTCGAGTAGCTGGGATTACAGGAATGTGCCACCACGCCCAGCTAAGTTTGTATTTTTAGTAGAGACAGGGTTTCTCCACGTTGATCAGGCTGGTCACAAACTCCCGACCTCAGGTGATCCACCGGCCTTGGCCTCCCAAAGTGCTGGGATCACAGGCGTGAGCCACCACGCCCGCCCTGTTTTTGTTTTGTTTGTTTTGAGATGAAGTTTCGCTCTTGTGGCCCAGGCTGGAGTGAAGTATTGAGATCTCAGCTCACTGAAACCTCCGCCTCCTGGGTTTAAGTGATTCTCCTGCCTCAGCCTTCTGAGTAGCCAGGATTACAGGCATCTGCCACCATGCCCAGCTAATTTTTTGTATTTTTAGTAGAGACGGCGTTTCACTATGTTGGCCAGGCTGGTCTTGAATTCCTGACCTCAGGTGATCCACCCACCTCGGCCTCCTAAGGTTCTGGGATTACAGGAGTGGGCCACTGGGCCTGGCCAAGAGTCTCTCTCTATTATTCAAGTTGACAACACATAAAGTAAAAATAATTCAGTCAGTGTGGGTTTTGTTTTCAAGAAGACAATATATAAGTGCTTCAGCTAACATTTTGTTTTATTTTTATTTTTTTATTTTTGAGACAGAGTCTCACTCTGTTGTCCAGGCAGCCCACTGCAATCTCCGACTCCTGGGTTCAAGCGATTCTCCCACCTCAGCCTCCCGAGTAGCCGGGACTCTAGTTGTGCACCACCACACCTGGCCTCCCCTAACCTAATTTTGGAATTAAGAGCAAGAAGTCTCCACTGGGCACAGTGGTTCACACCTGTAATCCCAGCTCTTTGGGAGGACAGGCAGGAGAATTATTTGAGCCTAAGTGTTGGAGATCAGCCTGGGTAACATAGCAAGACCTCTGTCTCTATAAAAATAAATAAATGGGGCACAATGGACATACTTTAGTCCATACTTGAAACTGAGGTATATTTTGATGTATTCTTTTCTTTCTTTTTTTTTTTTTTTTTTTTTTTTTTTTTTTAACAAAATTACAAAAATTAACCGGGATGATGTTGCATGCCTTTAGTTCCAGCTACTGGGTTGGCTGAGGTGGAAGGATCACTTCAGCCTGGGGAGGTTGAGGCTGCAGTGAGATGGAGTTTCCCTCTAGTTGCCCAGGCTGGAGTGCAATGGCATGGTCTTGGCTCACTGCAACCTCTGCCTCCCAGGTTCAAGCAATTCTCCTGCCTCAGCCTCCCAAGTAGCTGGGATTACAGGTGCCCACCACCACTCCTGGCGAATTTTTGTATTTTTAGTAGAGACAGGGTTTTGCCATGTTGGCCAGGCTGCTCTCGAACTCCTGAACTGAGGTGATCCACCTGCTACAGCCTCCCAAAGTGCTGGGATTACGGGCATGAGCCACCATGCCCAGCCAAAACCTGGCTAATTTTTGTATTTTTAGTAGAGACGTGGTTTCACCATGTTGCCCAGGATGGTCTTGAACTCCTGACCTCAAATTATCCACCCGCCTTGGCCTCCCAAAGTGCTGGGATTACAAGCATGAGCCACCACTCAAGGCCAGTTCCCTCCCCCACCCCTTTATTTAAAAGAAGGTAACAAGGTTTTTGTCGGGGTCCATGAGCTGGACATGTGTGCAGTGGTTAAATAATTCAGCCTAGGCTGTGTACCCGCTATGCTTTTTCTTTTTCTAGAGAGGGGGTGGAATAGGGGCCAGGCTGCTGCAGGCCCAAGGCAGCTCAACTTCCAAACCCCGTAGCTTCAGGTTTGTGGTCCTTCACGACATGCTGAGTCACAATCTACTGCTCCCTCAAGCCCAATGTCACCACAAGCAGAATCTCTAAAGGACGTTCTCAGAAGATGGTACTGTCAATGTGAGAAGCACCTCTCGTCCCCCCAGTTTCTGGTGCAGCTAACGAGAGACCTGAAATGCTTCCCTGCGCTTTACTTCTAATTCAACAGGTACTGATTGTCGGCCTCTGGAGCCCACGACACTACCCTAGACACTGGGAAACATGGAGTACTAAGGAATACACTATCTTGGTGAGGCGGGATGGCTAAGGCCTGTAATGTCAGCATTTTTAATGACTAAGGTGGGAGGTAGAGGTTGCAGTGAGCCGTGATCGCACCACCGCACTCCAGCCTGGACAACAGAGCAAGACCCCATTTCAAAAAATAAATAATATACATTTTTTTTTTTTTCAAGTAACACACCTTCCGGCCGTAAAAGGGCTTACATCCTAGTTGGGAAAACAGATGTTTGCAAAGGTGAATAAATATGCAAGCATCAAAATAACAACAATAAAAATTAAAATAATGCAAGCATCTACATGTGGCACAGTGCCGCGGGCCAGGCGACTTACTGTGGTTGAGGTCACCCAGAAAGATTGTGGAGCAAACGCACCGCGAGTGGGTCTCGGAGGGGGGGTGCATATGGAAAGAGCGGAAGAAGGGCTTTTATGATTGAGAGCGAATGCTGGCAACTGGGCCTTTGGCACGTTCAGGGAACCTTGCCTTACACGCAGACACAGGGTTGGGGGAATGTTGGGGAACGCATGAAAGATCAGGCTCAGGAGAAGGCCACCTTTTGGACGCTTCAGTACTGCGGGCCACCAGCTGGGAAGAACCCCGCCCTCCACTTTTCAAATTAATCCCAGGCCGGCGCACGGGCCTCGTGGGGCGGGCACTATGCTGCCATAGACATGCAGAGCTAGATCGTCTACCTCTTCGGAGGCTGACATGTTGGGTCCTGGCTGAAAAGTTGGAAATGGCTGGGGCCAATACCGAGCTAGGTTGGTGCTCCCAAGAAGGTGAGACAGGAAGAGCTCCCCTGTAAGCAGTCAAAGCAGGGGCGGAGCGAACCCGTGACGCGCCCCTCGGAAGAACAGGCTTTTAGAGAGTCGCCAGCCTCCCTGCCCTCATCCGAGATGGCGGCCTGAGGGCGCTCTGGCCGGCGCTCCTCGGATGCCCGGAGGGGGCGGTGGCCTCGCTTCTGTCTCTGAGGCTGCGGCGCGGTGCAGAGCGAGGGGTTTGGTCGCTGCTGGTGGCGTGGGGTACGCGGGGGCGCGGACTTCCGAGCTCTCCCCGCCTGCGCCGAGTTTTTCAGCGCCTTCCCCACCCGAGCCCGGGTCTCGCGGTCGGGAGCGCTCCGGGTGCAGCCCCGCGCGGGGCCGACCGTAACCGCGCCGCGGGCCGGACGATGCCCAAGAAGCTGCTGCTGCTGCCCCCGCTCTCCGCGTCCTCGGCTTTCCGCGTCCCGCGCGCCCGCCCCGCTCCCCCGCCGGCCATGAACGCCGCTCGCACCGGCTACCGAGTCTTCTCGGCCAACTCCACGGCCGCCTGCACGGAGCTGGCCAAGCGCATCACCGAGTAAGGGGGCGGCGGGAGGGCCGGGCCGGGGCGGCGGCGCCTTGCTGGCCTTCGCGCCCTGAGGGACCGCTCCCCTCCACCCGCCCCACCTCCTGCACCTGGGGCGGGAGGCGCGGGCCTGACCTTTCCCAGCCGGACAAACCTTGGACATGACGGAAACCACCCCCTGCTCCCCGGTTTTGCAGCTGGGAGGCTTGGGGCGGACTCTCGGTGACCTCAGCCCCCAGCCCCGTGACTGGGTCAGGGGCCTGCCTGCCTTTGGTCTCCCCACTCCCACACCCCGGGGCGGACCGAGTTTTCTGGAGCTCGGGGAAAGGGGCTCTGGGCTTGGCTGCCTTCCCCACAGCTGGAGTTGGCCCCGGAATCTGACCCTCGCCACTCCCAAGTCTCCCTGCAGTGAGATCCGTGGGCGTGGTTGTGACCTGGGGGACCCGACGCGGGGGGTGCGGCCTTAGGGCAAAGGTGTGGGGACTGGCATTGAGAAGAAGCCAACTCCAGGGAGGCAGATGGGCTGGAGCTGGTGGTAGAAATGACAGGCCTGACCCTGCTTTGTAAATCAGCTTGGGATGGAATCAGTCCTGTGTGTCTTTAACCCCAAGGCCACTTACTAGCCCTGTGTCGCGGGCAAGAGACTTGGATTTCCCTGAGCCTCAGTTGTGAAATGGGCATTCCGTCTGTTGGCCAAGGATACTGTGAGCATGACCGGGATATAGTAGGAGTATCTGACTCTAGCAGAGCAGGGGCTCACAGCGGCCCTCTGAAAGACCTGTTTACTCAATGGCCTCTTTTCTACGTTGGCTCTTTTGGAGTATTCCAGAGCTCGGATGTAAAGGAGGAGTCTTGGCCGGGCGCGGTGGCTCCCCCGTCTCTATTAAAAATACAAAAAAAAAAAAAAAAAAAAAAAAGAGGAGGAAAAGGAGGAGCCTTCTGGCCTTTTCCACATAAACTTGTTAGAAATCGAAGACTTAAGGCCAGGCTCGGTGGCTCACGCTTGTAATCTCAACACTGTGGGAGGCCGAAGCGGGCGGATCACGAGGTCAGGAGATCAAGACCATCCTAGCTAACACGGTGAAACCCTTCCTCTATTATAAAAGGAAATCTGAGACATAAAACGAATAGGTCGTCTTTAATATTTTAAGTCATTTTCACATTTTAAGTAGTTTTCATTAGAGTTACTTGGCTAATTTTTTAGGGTTGATAATTGCAGGAGTATATTTTAAACTTCTGGGTGGAAACTTAGAAGAAAGGGAAAACTTTAGTTATATTTTTTCAGCTCTGCCTGTTTTTTTTTTTAATAGTTGAGGTTTTGGAGATTAGAAGAATGTTAAAGCAATCCTTTTGCAATCTACTACCTAGTTTCTATTTCTAACCCCTGATTATTTGTCTTTTTTTTTTTTTTTTTGTCTTTCTTTTTGAGGCCAACGAAAACACTGACTTTAAATGAAGCTTGTGTATGTGTCTAGTGGTTCAGATTTACCCCACCTGACCTTGTTGAGGGAGAGCAGAGGGGAACAGGGCACATTATAAAAGCCAGTGAGGTTTTTTTTGTTTTGTTTTAAATTCTTCCCTGCCAAATTCCAGAAAGGTTTTGAATTACTATAAGTGATACATATTCGTAAATGCTTCCCTTATCTATTTTATTTGTCTAGTCCCTCCATAAGATTTTATCTTATCTACTTTATTTATTTTGAGACAGAGCCTTGCTGTGTCCCCCAGGCTGGAATGCAGTGGTGCCATCTCGGCTCACTGCAACCTCCACCTCTCAAGTTGAAGAGATTCTCCTGCCTCAGCCTCCCAAGTAGCTGAGATTACAGGTGCCCGCCACCACACCTGGCTAATATATATTTTTTCTTTTTGAGATGGAATCTCGCCCTGTCACCCAGGCTGGAGTGCAATGGTGCGATCTCAGCTCACTGCAGCCTCCGCCTCCCGGGTTCAAGAGATTCTTCTGCCTCAGCCTCCCGAGTAGCTGGAATTACAGGCACACGCTACATGCCCGGCTAATTTTTTGTATCTTTAATAGAGATGAAGTTTCACCATGTTGACCAGGCTGGTTTTGAACTCTTGACCTTGTGATCTGTCCACCTTAGCCTCCCAAAGTGCTGGGTTACAGGCATGAGCCACCACCCCCAGCCATTTTTGTATTTTTAGTAAAGACGGGGTTTTACCATTTTGGCCAGGCTCATCTCAACTCCTTACCTGAGGTGATCTGCCCGCCTCAGCCTCCCAGAGTGCTAGGATTATAGGCGTGAGCCACCGCGTCCAGCCAAGTAAATAGATTTTATTTTAAAAGAGGATTATTTGCCACTGAACAAAGTTTGATCAGATTATTTAACCCCTGAGGTTATGGTATTTTATTTCCATGATTCCTTTCAGACTTTCTAAACTTCAAGCAAGGATCTTCAAACTTTTTTGATTATGCACTTTAATCAATAAAATAGTTAGATACATTACCTTCCCAGGATATGCGAAAGTTACATGTGTTTTGTTACCCACAGCACCACCCACTGTCCTTCATCCAGCTTCCTTGCCGGGCGCGGTGGCTCACGCTTGTAATCCCAGCACTTTGGGAGGCCGAGGCGGGTGGATCACGAGGTCAAGAGATCGAGACCATCCTGGTCAACATGGTGAAACCCCGTCTCTACTAAAACTA